AGCCTGAGAAAAGGCCACCAGTACCTGTTTTGAGCATGTCTGCATGAAGGAGATGTCAAGCCACTCCTGGACCTCTTCTCCCACCTCACTTCCACTTCCACATGACAATGATTTTGAGGCTTCCTCACATTAGAATTTTTAATATTTTTTTCATCTAAATGCTCATCTTTAGTAAATAAAAAACTAGATGAATTGTGAAGTGAGAGAATTAAAAAGTGCTATCTTATATCTGAATGAATAAATCATTTATATTAGCTCTTCTGTCTCTAGGCTAGTGTGAATTGGCAACAAATACGTAAGCATCAGTGCTCTTCAACATAGTGTATTTATTTATTTTTATTTCTTAAGCAGTCTGACAAGTTATTTACCGTGTCAATTAGCATTGGCCTGAAAAGGAGAAAAGGAGTTGCTGTGCTACATGTGTTTATGTTCAGCTTTTGAGTCGTCCTGATAATTTTGGCTTTTATTTGTAGAAGGTATTTATCTCGAGAGAATCACCACCACCATTACAAAAATCCTACTTCATATTTTAACATTTTCTCAAAACTATACCTTGTTCGCAACCCTATCATTTCAGTATTAATTTTTTTTTCCTGATAAGGCAAATGACACTTTAGCCTTAGTTAATGTAAAACAGGAAGGTGTTAATCTCATTTTCAACATGTCAGCTCTTCTAGGTAGGGTATTAATACGCAAGATCCCCTGCTGGCAGCCTCAACAGAATCTTTCCAGCTGTGAAGTAAAGTCCAAACCTGGTAATTTTTGCTTTCCTTTATTGTGTGTGCTCAGGTCCGCTTCATTCATTGAAAAAGGTACAGCAGTAGCTAAATGCATATAAAGAAACAAAGGAATGTTTGCAAACTATTGACTTAACTCTCTATTCAGACACTATGCTAGGTTCTTTTTAAAATATTCACACACTACAAACATTTGGGTATGTTTGATGATAAATAGCAACTAGGTAAAGCATATATAAAGATCCCCTGAGATCTAGAATTTTGCATCAGAGAACTCCAGTCCAGTGTCACCATTTGCTTTGTTTAATTTGCTTTCTTTAAAACAATAGTCTGGGCTAAACAAGGAAAAGTAGGAACTATGTTGTAGGAAGTATTTCAGGATCCTTATCTAACAAAAAAAATTTATATTCTTGAAGTAATGTAGGAACCAAACTTTTAGTTTTTACTTTTTCTTCACATTGTAGAGATGAAAGTAAAAAAAAATGTTTTCATGGTACTGAGTTAGTGTGGACAGTGTGAAGGAAATACGTATCCTACAGAGATGCTTAGGAGTTTGGGGAATTCGTTCTTCTTATTCTACTCTGTTTCCATAAACACTGACAGTGTTCTTTCGGGGGCAATTCCAAAAGAGGGCAGTTAGAACGAAGAGGAAGTTAGTAACTATAGTGAATATATAAGAATATTAAAATTAAACTTTCCTATTTGTAAATATGATTAATAAGAAAACTTAATTTTAAAAATATGGTGTAAATATGATTAATGGGTTTTAAAGAAAATTTTACATGGTTCCAATTTAAGAAAGAATTAGCCTGGTACAGTGGCTCACGCCTGTAATCCCAGCACTTTGGGCCAAGGCGGGCAGATCACAAGGTCAAGAGATCAAGACCATCCTGGCCAACATGGTGAAACCCCGTCTCCACTAAAAATACAAAAGTTAGCTGGGTGTGGTGGTGCGCACCTGTAGTCACAGCTACTCAGGAGGCTGAGGCATGAGAATTGCTTGAACCCGGGAGGCGGAGATTGCAGTGAGCCAAGATCCTGCCACTGCACTCCAGCCTGATGCCTGGTGACAGAGGGAGACTCTGTCTCGAAAACAAAAAAAAAAAAAAAAGGAAAAAAGAAAAAAACAAAAGAAAGAATTAGAATAGGCATTTTAATTTCACACTGGAATGGAATTATATGTGGCTTTAAAAAATTACTAATACAGAGACTGTAGATACTGATAAGCTATTAGTTCATTTGAACTAAAAGCAGGAGAAAAACAGAAAAAATAAAATGGGATGGCAGCACAGACAAAATAATATAATATTTACAGGGTGGGCAAGTAAGAGGACGCAGCCCTGGAAAAGCATGAGAAGATGTGGGTCTTGAAGGAATGCAACTAGTCTTGTAACTAGTTAAGGAGAGATTTGAGAGAGGAGATAGTGATGACGCCACCGAAGATGTTAATTTTTGCACATGTCCTCCCACTTGCTAGTCACATGTTCTCATTTCATAGTTGGGACAGATATTGTTGTGCCCGCTACACAGACGAAGAGACACAAGTGCAGAAAAGTTGCAGCTCCTCTGACATAGAGAGCTACGTGCAAGCCCCAGCCCTGTGATTCTCCTTTGGTTTTCTTTTCTTTCTTTCTTTCTTTCTTTTTTTTTAAGGTTAGGATGAGAGCTTAAAAACTGCAAAAGGATGTGAAAAAAAGATGAACCAAAAATACGTGAAAATTTTAAAAAGAGTCACTGAGGAATTCTGAGCTGTCAAATCTATCCAGAAAAATAAGGCAGGGAAAAAGTGAGATGATAAGGTTTTTAAAAATTCCTGTTCAAGTTTGTAACATGCACAGTGCCTCTTTTTATTCATCTCCTGTCTGTACATATTTTTCCACACACCCTTCTACAGTTATAGAATTCATTCCCTTGCCCACTGGGTCAGTATTTTATTACTTTACCGGTTTCTTTTTGTAATAGCTCTTTATGCTCCTTGCCAGTGAAAGTATGCCCCCAGAAGAAGAAGATGACCAAAGGAAGGAGAACGTGGGCAGGAAAGGCCTGGCAAGCAAGGTCACTGTTGGAGCCACGTCTCGATTGTTCCATTTCCCCTATGGATACTATTACACATTTCCCCTTAAGCATGAGGCCATGTTATTTTCTGTGTTTAGCTTTTACCTAGAACATGGATGAGCTCATCTGAAAATATAACAAAATTAAATTCTATCATTGCTCATTGCAACCACATAGCTGATATTTTGTATATTGCATCTTAATTCTCCTTCTGGAAGAGTTATAACCTGTATAATTTGTACCATTGTTGACATTTTTATCTTCTTCAAAAACAATTTAGTACAACTTTAATTGAAGATTTGAAGCTTCACAGGTTAGTAGGCTTGAAGCAGGATGTGGAAATAAGGAGAGAAAAGCACTCATCAAAGTAGTTAAGTGACTTGTACTTGATCACACAATTGGCTCAGTCTGGACTGAAAACCTGGAGTTTTCTTCTAGGCTCTGTACCTTATCACATTGCCTTTCAAATTCATTTCAGCCAGACACAGTGGCTTATGCCTGTAATCTCAGCACTTTGGGAAGCTGAGGCAGGCGGATTACCTGAGGTCAGGAGTTCTAGAGTAGCCCGGCCAACATGGTGAAATCCCATCTCTACTAACAATACAAAAATTAGCTGAGCATGGTGGCAGGTGCCTGTAAGTCAACTACTCAGGAGGCTGAGGCAGGAGAATCGCTTGAACCCGGGAGGCAGATGTTGCAGTGAGCCAAGATCACACCACTGCCCTCCAGCCTGGGCAACAGACTAAGACTCTGTCTCAAAAAAAAAAAAAAATTCCTTTCAGTCAGTGTTTATTAATCACTTGCCATGTGTTAAATGCTATAAAGAATTGCATTGGAATTCTCCGCTCATGAGCTTATTCTTTTATTAGGGTATGTTCAAACAGGTCTAGAAGAAAAAATTTAAAATATGTTTTGCAGGTAGATAAATTTCTAAGTCAAAACATTCAATCCCAAAAAAAACAAAATCCTAACATATATTTATAATTATGCAACAACATAGATAAGGTAAATCTTTAGTTAGAAGTAGTGAAAAACAATCAACACCACCAAACTATTGGCCTTATTTGTATGTCTGCCAAAATAAGTAAGGACACAGGCAGAGAAAGAAAAACTTGACTACTAAGATACCTTCCTTACTCAAAGCTACTATCTCCAAATATTCTCTGTCAACCAACAAATACTGAGTACTCATTTCCTATCAGGCACTGGATTAGAGACCTGAGAATGAATGAAACATGTAATTCCTACCCTGTTGAATGAAGTAATTTGAATATCTTTCTACTTTCAAAATATAAGCTAATATGCTTTCCAGCCATTCATATTTTAGTAAGAGTTAATTTAAATGAATAATCAATTTTCTTGGCTCTCTGTTATGGGAGGATATTAGTTAGCAATAGCTCGGTTTTATGTTTATGGTGAGATTGCAGGGCAGAAAACGAAGGAAGAGCAATAAAAAATGAGAAGTTATTTTAAAAAACGTGGAGAGTCTGGGGAGGGCGTCCCAGAATGCAATGCCAACAAATATCAAGTACGCATTTCCTATCAGGCACTGGATTAGAGACCTGAGAATTCCATGGTGGAATGATGCTGCCATCATAAAAAACTCTTGGTTAGGGATTTGGGTGTCTAGAGAAAAGTAGATAGAGGAGTGAAAAAGGAAAATGTTGCATTCTTATTGCCTAAGGATCTGGGGGTCAAATTCATTGACTCAGAAATCTGTGAACTTAGAAACCTTATCAAAGAATTTGGATTTTTTTTTCCCGCACAAATAGGACTCTTTTTTTTCCCCCCCAATAGAAAGTAGGACTTACTGGTTAGCATTAGGAGATGGCTACACAGTGGAAGCCCTCATGAGTACAGGGCTTGTCATTTGCTTAGAGGGCCACAGTTGAGGATGTATTTGACTCTGTAGCCATCTGGGATAAGCTACTTCTCAGCCACCATGTTGCCAGATTCATTCAAATTGAACTTGATGAAGCCCCACTTCTTTGACATGTGGATCTTCTGGCAGCCAGGAACTTGAATTTGGCCGTGTGAAGGGCCTCAATCACATGATCCTTGTTCTGCTTGGTGCAGATGAACTTGATGAATTGGCCCATGTGAACCCAGGCTATGGTGCCCTGAAGCATTCAAAAGGCACCTTGCATACCTGTCTATAGCCTACACTCAGAGAGCATAAGTTCAGAGACATTAACATACATTGGAAAGAGCTGTCTCCAAGGTCCCTTAGAGGCAACCCATACAAGAAACAGGCTCCATACTAAGGAACCTGCTGTTTGCAGCCCTTGCACACCAAGCTCCCATGAGGAAAACAGTTTTGACAACTTAACTGGCTGCAGACAAATAGGCTTTTTAATTTTCCACTATTAAAAGTCTGAACTTTAAACAGATTCTTGGACTTATGGCTCATATCCATCAGCTCATTCAACGTTAGCACCTGTCTTGCCCCTGGTAGCTTTTCCAGAACAACTAACTTCACCATGAATCTCATGAGTTTTCCTAATTCAAACTTGGGCTTCTTCAGCATTTTTACTTTTCTAATGAATACATCATGAAGAGGATAAATAGATTGGCAAGCATTTTCTTTGTCTTTTCCAATGTTGTATGGAATCAATTTATTGACCACTTCTTTCAAGTCCTTTGTCTGCACTTCTTTATGATTTCCACCATCTTCTTCTGAGTTGGACAGACCTAGAAACAATCATTAGAGTGAATCTGCAACCAACAGAATGGGAAAAAACTTTTGCAATCTACCCATCTGACAAAGGGCTAATATCCAGAATCTACAAAGAACTAAAACAAATTTACAAGAAAAAAACAAGCCCATTCAAAAGTGGGCAAAGGATATGGACAGACACTTTACAAAAGAAGACATATGAAAAAATGTTCATCATCACTGGTCATTAGAGAAATGCAAATCAAAACTACATTGAGATACCATCTCACGCCAGCTAGAATGGCAATCATTAAAAAATCTGGAGACAACAGATCCTGGAGAGGATGTGGAGAAATAGAACACTTTTACACTATTGGTGGGAGTGTGAATTAGTTCAACCATTGTGGAAGACAGTGTGGCGATTCCTCAAGGATCTAGACATAGAAATCCCATTTGAACCAGCAATCCCATTACTGGGTATATACCCAAAGAACTATAAATTGTTCCATTATAAGGACACATGCACATGAATGTTCATTGCAGTACTGTTTACAATAGCAAAGACTTGGAACCAACCCAAATGCCCATCGATGACAGACTGGACAGGGAAAATGTGGCACATATACACATATGCAATACAATGCAGCCATAAAAAATGATGAGTTTGTGTCCTTTGTAGGGACATGGATGAACCTGGAAACCATCATTCTCAGTAAACTGACATAAGAACAGAAAATCAAACACTGCATCTTCTCACTCATAGGAGGGTGATGAACAATGAGAACACATGGACACAGGGAGGGGAGCATCACACACTGGGGTCTCTAGTGGGGAACTAGGGGAGGGACAGTGGGGGGTGGGGAATTGGGGAGGGATAACAAGGGGAGAAACGCCAGATATAGGTGATGGGGAGGAAGGCAGCAAACCTCATTGCTATGTATGTACCTATGCAACAATCTTGCATGTTCTTCATATGTATCCCAAACCCAAACTGCAATAAAATATATATATTTTTTAAAAAAGAGCTCTTCTGTATTTGATTGTTGCATTTTTTAGTAAAATCAATACAGAACTGAGTAAGCAAATAACCATTGGTAGACTTGACATGTACAGGAGCTTCAGTCATGGTCTACCATTTTTTGACCAAGGAACACATTTTGTCATGGGTAAGATCCATGCCATGGAAGTTAGGCAGCTTTTGCCCTGAACATCTTCAGTAAGCAGCTTGAATATTCTAAATGCAACTTGATTATTCTGCAGATCAGCAACAAACACTTCAAACACATGACCCTTAATGCCATCAGGTGTGATTCTTGTTCCGTGAATCCTGGTAACTATTGTCTTTTCAATATTCCTTAAATTGAATATAGCAGGTGCTTTCACATGATATCAATCTTTCTTAGAAAATGGATTGACCTCTTTCTTCTTGGCTCCCTTTTTATTACCTTTCATAAGGCACTTATTCTTGCCAACTACCATGGTGCTGTTCAGAAAGCCAAAAGGCAAGAATTCAAATTTTATCAACCTTGAATAATGTCTACAAAATACCACCTCTTCGTAGCCTTTCATGAGTGGTAGTTCTAGCCCCCAAAAGATAGAAAGACTGTTATATGTTCTTATATGTTCTGACATAGAACAGATAGAAAGACTGTCCTATGTCAGACCATATCACGAGCCAGATAGCTGATATTTTAGGTAGGTTTAGAACAGTTTTCTTTTTTTTTTAAAACATTTTCTACCAAAGTACCCCTAACTGGCAATAGAGGAGAAAGTTTTGAGTGGCGAAACTCCATCAACAGAATTACACCAGTGGTGGTAGAGAACAAGAGAACTGTTGAGGATAAGTCAAGGCAGGAAGTCTAAATGCATTTAAAATCTTGTGGTTGTTTTCCTTAAAAATTTAAGCAATTATTACATATTACCCCATAATAGGTTCATGATTTTTATTGTTTTTGTTTTTGTTTTCAGACAAGGTCTTGCTCTGTTGCCCAGGCTGGAGTGCTGTGGTGCCATCATGAATCACTGCAGCCTCAACCTCCCAGCCTCAAGCTATCCTCCCACCTCAGCCTCCCAAGTAGCTGAGACAGGCACTCACCACCATACCTGGCTAATTTTTGTTTTTTGTATTTATTGTAAAGACAATTTTTCGCCGTGTTGCCCAGACTGATCTCGAACTCCCAGGTGCTGGGATTACAGGCATGAGCCTCTGTGCCTGACTTCATGTTTGTTTTACATTTAAGTAATGCTTTAAAATACTTACTGTGGTTCAAGTTGACTCTCTGGGAAGAGATGCCATGATAACTGTGTGGTCTCAGTCTACTCATACACTTTGGCAAGTGCACGAGGATGTTTTATAGGGTTTTGTTGAGGAAGATACTAAATACACACGTTCTGTTCTCTCAGCAGTCACAATAACAAGGTTTTATTTAAACTGAGAGTCCGTTGAATTGGTTTGTAAGAGTGTGATTGGTCTGCCTCAGGATTCCCATTCATTACCGGGACTCCAAGTTTCCTAGGACTTTTCTATGATCTACATCTGACTGTCAATGATACTGGCTCAGATGGCCAGGACAAGTAGAAAATATGGGACCCAACATTCAGGTCAAATGATTCTGGATGAAGCATTCCTGCCAGCCATTCCTGTATGGGCTGTTGATAGAATTTTGCTTTCTAAACTTCCCTCTCTACTATCAGACATGGCCCCAGAGAAGTCCGAATGAGTGTAGGGCACAGAGAGCACAGAGAAGCTGATCCAACTCTGCTACTATCTAGGTTCTTTCTTCCCATCAATATTTGTTGAGTGTGTGGCAGGCATTGAGACTGAGGCTAAAACAGTGAAGACAGAAAAGGTCACAGTGGTAGGCAGAATCCTGACTCCCAAAATGTCTGTGCACGATTCTCTCAGAATCTGAGAATAGTTACCTTAAATGGCAAGAGTCCTCAGCTGGCTACAGTGCACACACTTGTAGTCCCAGCTGAGGTGAAACGATCACTTGAGTTCAGGAGTTTGAGATCAACCTGGACAACACAGAAAGATCCCTGTCTTTAAAAATAAAAAACAGTCTGGGCGCGGTGGCTCACATTTGTAATCCCAGCATTTTCGGAGGCTGAGGTGGATGGATCACTTGAGGCCAGGAGTTCGTGACCAGCTGGCCAACATAGTGAAACCCCATCTCTACTAAAAATTATCTGGGCATTGTGGCACATGCCTATAGTCCCAGCTACGAGGGAGGCTGAGGCTAGAAGATTGCTTCAACCCAGGAGGTGGAGGTTTCAGTGAGCTGAGATTGTGCCACTGTACTCCAGACTGGGTGACGTATCGAGACTCTGTCTACATAAATAAATTAAAAAAAAGAAGGACAGTAAGAAAAAAAAAGGAAAAGAAAAGAAAATGTGAGGGACTCAACCCACTGTTGCTGGCTTTGAAGTAGAGGGAGAGGCAATAAGACAAGGAACACAGCATTGACAACACCTTTATTTGACCCAGTTAGGCCTGTGTCAAATTTCTGATCTCCAGAACTGTAAGATAATAAGTTTTATGTTATTTTAAGCTACTCAATTTGTGGTAACTTATCACAACAGCCAATAGGAAACTAATACAATTCCCATCCTCTTTGTGCTTGTATTCTAGTGAAAATAAAAATAAACATAAACAATAAGGCATTTAAATATTCTAATAAGAGGTAGGAAGGAAATTAATGAGGTAATGTGAATGGGAATATAATGGACTCATCTGTCAACTTTTTAATGCTTTGAGAATGCTCCAATGCATGAATTTTGGTATTAGGCAATGATTAGCCCCCCCATAGGAGTTATTTATCTGTCTCTTTTCCAGCTAGAGAAAAGTATTTGACTTGGCCTCCACTAATTAAATATAGCCATGCTAGAATTTAAATCAGAGGCCACTGATGGAAAGGGAAGGATAGTTCAGATAATTTCTTTCTCCCTCCCTTCCTTCCTCCTTCTTTCCCTTCCTTCAGCCCTCTTTCCCATTTTCTCCTTCTCACTCTCTCCCTCTTTTCTGTAATAGTAGCTGGGGATAGCTTGGACTACAAGATAATATACAGCACAAAACAGCCAACTTGCCCTTGATAGCTAGAGTTACCCCTTCATCAGATCTGCAATATAGCTTTAGATGCTGTTCTGGAAGCTGAGCTCAAGCCTAGCTCTCCGGCCCTCTCAACAATTCAGTAAACCAACAAAACATCTTTTTATTACTCTTTTTCTGCTTGACCAACTGAAGCCACCTTTGATCTCTTGCAACTGAAGACCCTGAAGAAAATAGTCATTAGACTTTGGACACTGGGGTTAAGGAGGTCTCTCCGAAAAGCTGAGATTTGAACTGAGGCAGGAAGAATGTGAGGGAGCAAGTAATATGAGCAACTGGGGAAAGCAGTCAGGCTGAAGAAATGCAAAGACTACCATACTGGAGCTGGGGTGCAAAGAAAGCAGGAAAAACAAGGCCGTTGCCTTTGTGGAGTTTACCTCTGGTAGAGGGTATCTAGACAGTTAAAGGGAGGCAAATGACAGGCAGCATAATTTCAGATACGTGTTTTAAAGGAAGTAGAAGAGAGAATTGTAGGCTTCAGGCCAGGAACTATTCGGATAGGATGCGCAGGAAAGGCCTCTCAGAAAAAAGTGACATTACACAGAGACATCGGAAGATTTATAACTTAGAGAGTG